TTCTTAATTTTTCATATTTTTGACAAACCATTCTGTAGAATTAATTCTTTTTAAAAGTTTAATAGGATTTTTATTGAAATTATTTCAAGTTTTTATTTTGCAATATATATATTTAATTTCAGAATTTCCGAATAATTGAAATTTTGTAAAATTGAATTGTAAACGAATGAATTTAAAAATTCTCAAAGAACTTTTTTAAAAATTATTAAAAATAATGTATTTATTGAAGAATTTTAGTTAAAAACGTTGGAAAAAATTTAATTTTAGAGAAGTTACGAATTATTGCAGAAATTCAATTATTTTCAAGAGTAATAAAATTCTTCTTAAGGATTCAATTATTTTTACTTATAATAAAACTGATGTTAGAGTTTTTAATTATAATTGAATTTCTTCAAAAAAAAGCAATTATGTTCATGCAAGTTTTAATAAAATTTCGCAAAAGAATTCAATTATTGCAAAAGAAAAAAATCATAAATTTTATCCAAAATTTAATTATTTTCATAAATAATAAATTTTCCACAGGAATTCAATTAATTTAGAATAGAATTTTCAAAAAAATTTCGAAAAATTCAATTATTTAACAAAAGTGATATAAAATTCTTCACAATAATTCAAATACTTTCATTAATAATAACAAATTTCATTAAAATTCAATTTTTAAAAAAAATTGTTGATAAAATTCTAAGCAAGAATTCAATTTGTTTTTAAAAATAATAAAACTCACCGAAGAATTTTAATTATTTTTAATACTAATTCCTGAAAAATCGTATTAAAAATAATTGAACTCCTGCGATGAATTAAATCTTTTTAAAAGTTTAATAGGATTTTTATTGAAATTATTTCAAGTTTTTATTTTTTCAATATATATTTAATTGCAGAATTTTCGAATAATTGAAATTTTTGTAAAATTGAATTGTAAACGAATAAATTTGAAAATTCTCATAAAACTCATCGCAACGTTTCAATTATTTTTCATACAATTTTAATGGAATTCCTTGAAAAAAGTAATTATGTTCATGCAAGTTTTAATAAAATTCGACAAAAGAATTCAATTATTTAAAAATTTGTTAATAAAATTCTTTATCAGAATTGAATTTTGAGAAACATTCAATTATTCAATAAATTATTTACTTTTGCATTTAAATAATTAAATTCTTGCAGAATTTTTTAATAAAAATTGATTTTTATTTCATAAAAATGAATTTCAGTTAAAATTTTAGATTACAATTGAATATTAAAAGCAATATAGCGTGAATTTTTAGAAATAATTGAATTTTGAAATTAATTTTTTTGAAAAAGTTTAATTGAATTTTCTTTTATGTATATTATTTGAAGTTTTTATTTTCTAATATGCATTTAATTAAAGAATTTCTGAATAATTGAAATTTCGTGAAATTGAATATTGTAAACAAATGGATTTGAAAATTGCCAAAGAACTTTTTCGAAAATTACTAAAAATAATAGATATAAAGCAAGAATTGTAGTTTTCAATTTTTGAAAATAATAATTGAATTGAAATAATGAAAATAATTTTGAAGAAGAAAAATATTCTTATAATATAAAATAATGATTTTATTACTTGGTCATCTTTAATTATTATAAAATATGAAGAAATCGATGACTCCGAGTCGAAGACTCGGAGTTACACGGAGAGAAGAGTTGCAGTAAATGTGACAGAACGCGTTTAGTAAATCATTTAGTGCACCGGTTAGTGGCGCCAACTGTATGTTTAGTATAATACACTACGACACCTCTCTGTTTAGTAGAATATACTGTTTGCTCAGTGTATCTTACTATCTTACTAAACAGTGCAGTAGATGGCACTGTCTGTACCGTCAGTCCAAACCTAACGATTCTGTTTAGTAGATTTAACTGCCTTGTCAGTAGAATCTACTACGCCCTTCTCTCCGTGTATCGATATCTTCATGTTTTATAGTTATAAAAAAATTTAATGAACTAAAATTTCATTCATTGTAAAAAATAACACCAAAATTGATTAATTTAATTTTTTTTATGTTAATTTAATCTACAATTATATAAAGAAAGGAAAAACCCCATTCGAATTTAGATCCTGCTTCTATTTTGGTCCAGATTATCTTTAATTTTTTTCTCCATTAACTTTTTTTATCCTTATCTTCAATTTTTTTTTTTTTAATAAAATCAAATGTGACGGTATTTGAAATGATTTCGCTATTAGTCCTTGGCAGGAAATTCCCGTGGGAATCGGAAGAGAGGAAAAAGGGGGGAGGGTAAAGAGTGCGTTTTCTGGTGGGACTTGATGGTATTACGCGAAGAAAGGCCCCCGCGGGACTTATTCTGACTGGTCGCACCCCCAGGACACGCCAACTGGATGTGCTTGCTTTTACCCTCCGATATAGATATATATATATATATATATATATATATATATATAGAGTATATAATGTACATGTGTGTTACTACACAAGTTTTCATCTGCGACTTGGGATACAGTAACTACAGCTTATTCGGTCGAAGCGAGCAAGAGATTTGTCTAGGGACACCACGGAGAGAACCTCTTCGGGGACCGGAGAAAGACTTTCTTTACTAACTCGAAGGAGCAAATTACAGGACTTTCCCTGCCCTTCAAATTCCTTTCGTCTACTTTTTTCCCTTAATAATACTTAAAAAAGTATTTAAAAAAATTTATTTTTGATCACATTTTTGTTGATTAATTAATAATTTACTGTTTTTCTGCAAATATCAAATTGAGACAAAAAAAAATGCATCAAAATGTTGCTTCGCAACTATTTTGATGCATTTTTTTGTCTCAATTTGATATCTGCAGGAAAACTATAATTTTATATAGAATTAATTATTGCTAATTAGTTGTAATGAAATACTTATAATAAATTCGTAGTAAAATTATTGTACGAAAGTGCCTGTCTCGTTTATATTCAAATAAAAATAAATAAATAGAAAAAAATACTATAATTAATTACTATTTAATTAATCAATAAACATTAATTAAAATTGAACGAAGTGATCGTGAAAACTTGACATCTCGGTTAAATTATTAATTTGAGTTTCTCATTCGTGGAATCGGATAATTGTATAATTCTTCTGATGACATTTGGTATTTATGAAAAAAATTAATAGACTTTCGGAGAAGTCGTAAAATTGTAGAAAAAAACGTCAATGAGAGGCTTGTAAAAATAATTGCTGAAAATTGTTGGTCCGAACATTGAAAGAAATGTAAATGAAACATGGTTTTAGTGAAATAGTGAGCATGCAAATAATGTCGCGTGTTTTGTCCAAATTATACTAACCATATGAGTTTTGTATATATATATATGTGTGTGTATCACTTTCTGTGTTTAAACAGTGATTACTGGCATCGTGAAAATGTGTTTGCAGGTGCGAAACACATAGTATAAAATAATAATCTTCTCGTAAGCGCATCAAGTATTTTCACTGCTTTTTTTGGTAACGTGAAAAAATTTATTGAATTACGTTCAATTAAAATTTCAAATTCAAAAGAAATCGTTTTTTATTCTAATTATTCTTTTATTCAATTTACTATTGACTTAATTATTTCAATTGTTAATTAGTAATTCCATTGAATTAAAATTTAAAACAAGTATTTTTTTCTTATTTTAATTATTCTTCAATTAATAATTAATTAATTAATTAATTAATAACTTAATTATTCTAGTTCTGGTGAATTAATAATTCTATTGAGTTCTATTTCTTTCTATTCAATTAATTTAAATGGAAAAGAAATCTATTTTTATTTTAATTATTTTTAAAATACTATACTTTAATCATTATTCGATTAATTAATAAACTATTTATTTTAATTTGACTTAATCAATTATATTCAATTGAAATAATCGGTATAATTAATTATTAATATTGAAGTGCTCTTTAACTTGTAAGAAACAAATATTTGCCAACATTTTGCTGAAATATTGTATTTGAATTACGATCTCTTCATGGTGTAACTGTATATATGCAACACTTATGTTAATTATTTCGTTGGGGCTAATAAGTTTTAACCTTGTAGGTCACTTGTTATAACCTTGTTGCACGAAACCGAAAACGTATCATTACTTTCTTGTTGCTCTTCATTTTTTTTTTTAAATTAAATTTCATTTTCAGCGATGGAAAAAATTCCATAAAAATACTTATGAGGATTTTATTTACCAAAAAAAAAAAAGAAAATAAATTATAATTTTTTTTGTAGTCTTTGCGAAAATATAACAAGCGCGAGTAATTTATTATTAAGCAGCGAAAAATATTTTTTCCAGTAATAATTTTTCCCTAATAATAAATTATCTCTAATAATTAATAATAAATTATTATTATTATGACAAATTATTGTTCGTCATTAATTATTCATTTTTTGGCTGTTTTGCTACGGGAAGTACTTGTTAAAATTTGTTATACAATATACAAGTGATTTAGTGGTGGATTTTTTTGTATAACATCGCAAAGGCTTCATAGCAACATCAAAGCCATAAGGAATATCCGCAAAAGCTTTATTATTCCAAGGGTAATCTGCGGCCGACATCCCCATCCATAAATATATGAATACAGGGTAACAACGTGTTGTCATTAAATAAAAATCAATCAGAAGGTCGTGAAGGAAGCTTAACGGATTTGCTTTCGACGCCCACGGCTTATATCTAGTCCTACGGGACGCATCTCCCTTCATTGCCAGCCATGCGGATACCAAAACTTCTCATTGTCTGGTGTTCATAGTTCCTAAATGATTCTTGCACAGAATTTCCTTTATATCTCCCATACACACAAAATTTATTCAAATCAAAAACAATTTGTACAAAAAAAATTTTATACAAATTATTTGTACCTCTTCTTTACAGTTTTTCGAAATTTTCTTTTTTTCTAAATTCTCCTTAATTTTTTATTATTTCTGGATTATAAATAAATTTGTAATTATTGTAGTTATAACTGTAATAAATTATTCATTAATGCTAATTTATTATTTTGGTAAATAACGAATGTCTTTTTTGTTCCAGGCAATTATGTACGAGGGTCAGGATAAGAATCCAGAGATGTGTCGTGTTTTGTTGACTCACGAAGTCATGTGCAGGTGAGAAATTTTGCAAAAAATAATTTAATTAACAATACTTAACAAATTTTTACCAAATTTGATTAATTCTGGTTTTGATAATTACGTAAAATTGTTCTAATAAACATTTTAAGGAAGCAATAAATATTTAAAGTTTAAGCGCGTTTAGAATTTTAGGATTGTATGATAGTAACAAAATTTTTTATACTTAAATTTTAAATAGTGAACGACTAATAAAATAATAAATTAAAAGAAAATAAATTAAAATTCAGGGGAAAATAGCAAATATTTCATACTCAAAAATCAATTTAAATGATTGTTTCAGTCGTTGCTGTGATAAAAAGAGCTGTGGAAATAGAAATGAAACTCCAAGTGATCCAGTTATCATCGATCGGTGAGTTTAATAATTGATTTTTCCTCTCTATAATACCTAAAGTGGCTGGAAGAGAAAATAGAACTAACTCAATATAAAATAAAAGTCGTTCATAAGATTCGCACTTGAAAGTCGTGAAAACTTTGTTGAAAATCGATTCTATACTTGAATATTATAGATTCGATAATGTGATATCAAGATGAAAAATGAAAAATTCACGCAGGCTTCTTGAAATCTGTTGGCGAAAGCGAAACCTTTAGAAAATAGGGTTTCAAAGTACTTTATATGGCATATGCCCTCTAAATAAATGTATATACACAATTTTTCTAAGGATATACAAATTGAGACAAAAAGCGTATCAAAACGTTGCTTCGCAACAATTTTGCTCAATTTGGATATCCTTAGAAAAACTGTTGTCCTTAGAAAATTAAATTAAATTTATATTTTATATTATACGTAATTTAATTCTTGAAATTGAATTTGAAAATCTTAGATTTCAAAAATAATAATTTTATAATAATTTTATAATAATTTATGAATATAATTTAGCCAATAATTTTACTTAAAAGTTCTCAAAAATTATTATCAAATTCTTTAAAACGATTCAATTATTCTCAAAAAATATTCGAAATTCAATTATTTTCAATAACTAGGTAGTATTTTTTCATAACATTTTGGCAAAAAATTCAATTATTTCAAAAAGAAAATGATAAATTTCATCCAAAATTCAATTATTTTTAAAATTAATAAAGCTCATCGAAGAATTTCAATTATTTTTAACACTATTTTAAATTAATTAATCGAAAGATTAATTTTCACAGCCAGCTTCAGCTTCATATTATTTTCACAAATAAAGTTTGTCACAACAAATTTAATTATTTAAAATCAAATTTCTTAAAAAATAAAATTCATCGCAAGATTTTAATTATTTTTTAAAACAATTTTACAGGATTGACTAAAAAAATGTAATTATTCTTAAAAATTGAATTTCAATTCCTCGAAAAAATCAATTATTTATAAAAATATTAGAATTTTTCACAGGATTTAATTATTTTCAAATATTTTGATAAAATTGTTCGAAAGAAATCAATTATTTTAAATACAATTTTAATTAAATTTTTTTTTAAATAATTCAATTATTCTTTTAGATTTTAATTTTTAATTTATTCCCGAAAATTCAATTATTTTCAGACATTTTACTAAAATTCAGAGTGGCCACATGTCAGTAAAGTCAGTAGAGTCAGGGAAATGTCAGTGAAATAAAATTTTTGTCAGTAAAGTCAGGGAAATGTCAGGGAAATAAATTTTTTGTCAGTAAAGTTAGGGAAATGTTAGGAAAAAAATTTTTGTCAGAGAAATTAAGAAAATTGAGAATTTTTTTGACTTATTTTAAAAAATTGCGACTTTTTTGACTTTTCTTTCAAACATTTGAAGTATTTATTTACAATTTTTAAACATCATTTTTTGAAGAATTTTAATTGCATGAAAATAATTGAAATATCAAAAATTTTAATGAAAAATCTTTAAAGGTAAATTTAAAAATGAAAATTAATGAACATTAGCTTCTAATTTTTTAAAATTCAATGATTTCAGTATTTTCAATTACATATTTCCAAAAATTCAAATACATACAAAAATAACAACATTTTAGAATTCTTTTTAATATTTTAGAGAATACAATCAAGTTCAAAATTTGTAATTAAAATTTAAAAAAAAATTAATTAGTTTTTTAAATTATACAACATTTTTTTTAAGAAATTCAATTATTTTCGAAAAATTGCATTAAAATATTTTTAAACACTAATTATTAGAATTGTTTTATAATAATTTTTTTAAATTCAATTATCTTCTAACGATGTAAATAAAAATTTATGAAAATTTACTTTTTGGAGTTATTAAAATTTTTGAAAAATCATGGTCCTGTTTATATTTAAAATTCTTCAAAAATTTGATCATTTTTATTTGTTTTTTTCAAAAATTCAATTATTTTTAAAAGTTTTTACCAAATTTTAATTGTTTGGAAATTATTAAAAATTGAAAAACTATTATATTTATAAAATAATTACAATTATTATAAAAAATTTAATTTTTGTATTTAAATAATTGAATTCTAGAAGTACTTTTGGGAAATTATTTAAATTAATTGATTCAGAGATGAAGTTTACTTGAAAATTGTAAAAAATAATTGAATTCAGGAAGGGTTATAATTGTAATTTTTAGAAATTATTTAAATTCATAAATTTTACCCATTTTCCGTAAACATTCATATTTTCCTGTAAAAAGAATTTTGTCAGGGAAAGTAATTTTAATGTCAGTAAATTGTCAGGGAAATGTCAGGGAAATTGATAAACTAAAACTTGGGGTCACCCTGTAAAATTCTTTACAAAATTCAATTATTTTCATTAATAACAATATTCATCACAAAAATTCAATTATTTTTAAAAGTAATAAATTTCTTTTTGGAAATTCAATTATTTTAAAAAAATTCTAATAAAATCGTTTGCAAGAAAGAATGCCGAAAAATGTGGATCAAATGCAAACTTGATCGAAATTTTTGATATAAATTTAACACTTTGAATAGGAAAGCTGTGATATAAGAAGTATTATATTTTGTATTATATACAGAAAGTATTATAATAATAATATATAATATCGATATACGGAAGTTAGAGGAGTGTATAGAGGGATAACTTGCTGAATGGAATCCAGGGATATTTAGGCTTGCAAAATACGTTGTCTACGAGAGGTAGATGGGAGAGTATCCACCTTGATACAAGGGCGGATGAGTATTTGTACTCAGCAATATACTCATCCCACTAGTGCGGGGTGGCCCGTACTAGGAAACATTGCTGGATTCTCTAGACTCTCGTATCCTGGCTAACGTGGTAGAGTAGAGAGTGAGCTCGGTATCTGAATAGGCTATAGTGTCTTGAGATAGGAACGGTTGGAAAGGAAGAGGTTTCCCGCGGGACCCTGGGCCGAGATAGTCTTCAGGAGGACATCTTGCTCTCAGTGGATCTCAACCACTGTCTCTTCCATTATTCCTCTCGAGAGAATCCTTCTCATCCGCGCCTTATATATACTTAACTTTACAATTCCTCTCCATGTCGAATCAATTTTTTGTTTGTCTTTCTTTTTTCAAAAATAGGGAAAATCTAGATATATATATATATATATATTTCTTTCTGAGAAAAGAATTTTTTCTTTCGAAATAAAATGTTTATGCGAAAATAAATGTTTATTTAAATCAACAACATTGCATTTGAAATTTTGAACTAATAATTTTAGTATTTGAAGCAAACAGTAATAGAAAAAAAATTGTTGAAATAGAACTTTTACTGATGATAAATTATTTGTTACAAGTGTAAATATTTATTTGGTGATAAAGTATTCGTTTATTTGATTAAAAAAATTTTTCTGACTGAAGGATTTTTAATTATTCAGTTATACTAATAAGAATTAGAGAAATTTAATTCTATTTTCGAGAGTAGAAAAAATATGTTGACTGGTCTCTCTAATGGAGAAAAATTAATCTCGAAAATGCTCGTTTGACGCATTCAACACGCACACGTAACTGTGTATAGCCACTTTGGATAAATGCAGTGTGTGGTTATCCTGGTCGCGTGTCACGTGCAACGCCCCCTTTGGCTTAATTTCATGTAGAATCAATTTTCGATCTTATTTTCTCTCTCACTGCTTTTTTTTTTGCCTTTGGAAATCTTTTCCCCATAGTTGGTAAAAAAAAAGTCCCTTGATGGCAACATGAAGGTTTTATAACATACTTTATTGTAGGGAATATTCTCATTGTCACTTTCCTCCGTATAGAAAGTAGGCTAATAGATTTTTCGACTGTTGAAAAGTCCAACAATGGTGGGCGTATTGTAGGCGAGGGATATCAATACCAAGTTTGATTGAAGCGACCATCCTGAATTGTGACATGCTCACTCGACTGTAAACCGAAAGTACGAAAATTTGGTACGCCGCACACTTTTGAATATCAGGAGCACCTCAAAGTATTAAAAAAAAGAAAAAAAAAACACACACACAAAACAAAAGAGACCTATTGCGTATCGCCTGTACTATTTTCATTCTTTTGTCGCCTTTTTTGCTCGAATTTTTCGATTTAATGAATTCTTATCATTTACTTATTTTTACTGATTTTATATTTTTTCTTTTCTACTGTTTATTTCTACTTTCCTACTTTTTTACTTTTCTACTATTTTACTTTTTTATTATTTACTTTACTATTTACTATTTTACTTTTTTACTTTTCTACTATTTTACTTTTTTAATTTTCTACTTTTCTCTTTCTCTGTTTTTTTTTAACTCTTCCTACTTTTCTACTTTTATTTGCTTTCGTGCTAATCTTCAAAACATTTTTAGTACTTGAAGACAATAATCTATTAAAAGTAACAGAGGGAAAATAATAATAATAAAAAAATTCTGTTTAATAATTATTGTTTTGCTGTAAAAATTAGGAAAAATTTAAATAAATAATTATTTTTCAATAAAAAATATTTAAAAACGAAAAATATGTTAATATTCAATTTCAAACAATAGTTTTGATATTTACCAAAAATACTAAAAAAAATATATCAATAAACACAATAAAATAATATAAACACAGATTTAAATTTTCAATGGTTTAAATTTAAAAAAAAATTTGAAAACGACCCTAAAAAAATTGATTTGATTCAAATAAACGATTACTTTCCTATTTACTAACAAAAAATAAGTACACAATTATTTTAAATTGAGGATTATTCAATTTGTTTATTTAACATTCCAAAACGTGAAAAATTATAATTTTCTTCACTTCTAAAAATTTCCAATCAGGAATAATTCACTGATTGCTTCGAATTTTATTGAAATCTTTGATAATATTTTAATTATTTCTTGAAATTTAATTAAAATTGAATTCTTAAAAAAAACTTAAAATTTTTTAATACAATTTAATTCTTACGAAGAATTTTATTAAATGTTTTATAATAATTGAAATTTTGACAAGAATTTGTTAAAAT